ATGTATCTTTCCCTTTCTCCCTTGCTTTTTGTTTCTCCTCTATCCTCAGCTATTTGTAAAGCCTCCTCAAGTAACCACTTTGCCTTCTTGCATTTCTCTTTCTTTGGGATGGTTTTGGTCACTGCCTCCTGTACAATGTTATAAACCTCATTTAATAATAACCTCATATAAATGTCCATAGTTCTTGAGGCACTCTCTCTACCAGATCTAATCTGTTGAATCTATTCATCACCTCCACTGTATAACCATAAGGGATTTCATTTAGGTCATACCTGGATGGCCTAGTTTCTCTAGTTCCTTCAATTTAAGCCTGAATTTTGTAACAAGGATCTCATGATCTGAGCCACACTCAGCTCTGGCTCTAGGTATAGAGCTTCTCTATCCTCGACTTAAAGAATATAATCAGTCTGACTTTGGTATTGACCATCTGGTTATGTCCATGTGTAGAGCCATCTCTTGTGTTTTTGGAAAAGGGTGTTTGCTATGACCAGTGTGTTCTCCTGACAAAATTCTGCTAGCCTTTGCCCTGCTTTATTTGGTACTCCAAGGCCAAACTTGCCTGTTATTCCTGGAACCTCTTGACTTATCTACTTTTGTATTCCAATCCCCAAGGATGAAAAGGACATCTATTTTGGTGTTAGTTCTAGAAGGTGTTCTAGGTCTTCATAAAATCGGTCAGCTTCAGTTTCTTTGGCATCCGTGTTTGGGCATAGACTTCAATTACTGTGATGTTGAATGGTTTGCCTTGGAAATGAACCAAGATCTTTCTGTCATTTTTGAGGATGCACCCAAGTACTGTGCTGTGGACTCTTTTATTGACTGTGAGAGCTACTCCACTTCTTCTAAGGCAGTCTTGCCCACAGTAGTAGACATTATAGTCATCTGAATTAAGTTTGCCCATTCCCGTCCATTTTAGTTCACTGATTCCTAAGATGTCATCACTCTTGCATCTCCTTCTTGTCCACATCTAATTTACCTTGATTCATGGACCTTACATTCCAGGTTCTTATGCAACATTGTTTTTTACATCATCAGACTTTACTTCACCACCAGATATATCCACAGGTGAGTGCTGTTCCCGTTTTGACCCAGCTGCTTCATTCTTTCTGGAGTTCGTAATTGCCCCCCACTCTTCCCCAGTAGCATATTGGACATCTTCCTACCTGGGGGGGCTCATCTTCTGGTGTCATATCTTTTTGCCTTTTCATATTGTCCATCAGGTTCTCCAGGAAAGAATACTGGAGTGGGTTGCCAACCCCTCCTCCTGTGGACCACCTTTTATCAGAACTCTTCAGTATGGCCCGTCTGTCTTGGGTGGCCCTGCATGGCATGGCTCATAGTTTCAGTGAGTTATGCAAGCCCCTGCCCCACAACAAACCTGTGATCCATAAAAGGGTTCATTGTCTGTCACCTTGTGAATTCATATCATATGATGCCTTTTCCATGTAGAATATGGTGCTTTCTCCTCAGTTTTCAAGAATTTTCAATATATTCAAGTTTCCTTTAAGACATGATTAATTATAATAATATGTACACCAACATAATATCAACTTTTCAATAGAAAAGAAAAACCACTACCATAAGTATACATATCAATTATTAGTTGAATCTTACTTTCAGAATTGTTTAAAAGTTTTTGATGTTGTCAAATATATGTAAAATTTACTATTTTAACCATTTTTAGGGTACAATTCAGTGGATTTAAGTACATTCACATCGTTGTGCAGCCATCACCATTAACTACCTCCAGAACTTTTTCATCATCCCAAATAGAAACTCTTTACCCTTTAAACAATAATCCCCATTATCCTTTCCCCCATCCTCTGACAACCTCTGTTCTATCTTCTGTCGTTATGAATTTACCATTATAGTGACATTTTTAAAAACCATTCATCTACTGATATGGTTCCAACTTTTGTCTTCTGTGAATATCTCTACTATGAACATAGTTATATAGACATTATTTATATCCCTGCATGCAATTCTTTTGAGTATATCCCTAGAAGTGAAATAGCTAGATAATATTCTAATTCTATATGTAATTGTTTAAGAACCTGCCATACTATTTCCATAGCAACTGTACCCTTTTACATTCTCACTAGCAATGAGAAAGTGTTTCAAATTAGAACATAAAACAAAAGATAGATAATATTTCAAATATATGAAAATGTATATAAATTTTTATAACAGAGACCTGTGAGCCAACCACTTGAATTTTAGCATTGTCTGCATTTATTCCAGCCAGTTCTTTATTAAAAAATTATTAAATGTGATATCTGAAGCTCCCTCCCCTCATTTATTCCCCTTCTTCCGTCAGAGGTAACCACTCTTCTGAAGATGCCTGTGTATCTTTCCTTCCATGTTTGAATATTTCATCTTTCTTTCTACATGTTTCTACATATGTGTGTGTATATCTGTGACTGTTCTTCAGTCACTCAGTCATGTCTGACTCTTCAATCCCATGGACTGCAGCACGCCAGGCTTCCCTGTCCTTCACGATCTCCCAGAGCTTGCTCAAACTCATGTCCATCAAGTCAGTGATACCATCCAATCATCTCATCCTCTGTCATCCCCTTCTCCTCCTGCCTTCAACCTTTCCCAGCCTCAGGGTATTATCTAACAAGTCAGCTCTTCGCATCTGGTGGCCAAAGTATTGGAGCTTCAGCTTCAGCATAGTCCTTCTAATGAATATTCAGGACTGATTTCCTTTAGAATCAACTGGTTTGATCTCCTTGTAGTCCAAGGGACTCTCAAGAGTCTTCTCCAACACCACAATTTAAAAGCATCAATTCTTCGGCGGTCAGTTATCTTTATAGTCCAACTCTCACATCTATACATGACTACTGGAAAAACCATAGCTTTGACTATACAGACCTTTGTTGGCAAAGTAATGTCTCTGGTCTTTACTGTGCTGTTTTAGTTTGTCATAGTTTTTCTTCCAAGGAGCAATTGTCCTTTAATTTTATGGCTGCAGTCACCATCTACAGTGATTTTGGAGCCCAAGAAAATAGTCTCTCACTTTTTCTATTGTTTCCCCGTCTACTTGCCATGAAGTGATGGGACCGGATGCCATGATCTTCTTTTTTGAATCTTGAGTTTTAAGCCAGCTTTTTAACTCTCCTCTTTCACCTTCATCATGAGGCTTTTTAGTTCCTCTTTGCTTTCTGCCCTAAAGGCGGTATCATCTGCATATCTGAGGTTATTGATATTTCTCCTGGCAATCTTGATTTCAGCTTGGGCTTCATCGTTTGTGATCAGTTCAGTCGCTCAGTCATATCCAACTCTTTGCAACCTCATGGACTGCAGCACGCCAGGCCTCCCTGTCTATCACCAACTCCTGGAGTTTACTCAGACTCATGTCCATTGAGTCAGTGATACCATCCAACCATCTCATTCTCTGTTGTCCCCTTCTCTGCTGCCTTCATTGTAAAATATTCATAAACAAGATATTATATTGTTTTATGTGTTTTTCAGTTCAGTTCAGTTCAGTTGCTCAGCCATGTCCGACTTTTTGCGACCCCATGGGCTGCAGCACGCCAGGCCTCCCTGTCCATCACCAACTCCCAGAGTTTACTCAAACTCATGTCCATTGAGTCAGTAATGCCATCCAACCATCTCATCCTCTGTCGTCCCCTTCTCCTCCTGCCTGCACTCTTTCCCAGCATCAGGGTCTTTTCAAATGATTCATGTGTTTTTAAATAGTGCATAATAGTTTCATATCATATGTATTGTTTTACAATTTGATTTTTTATTCAAAATCATGTTTTAAAAATTTTCTCAAGCTTTATTGGAGTTTAATTTACATACAATAAAATTCACCTATTTTAAGTGTACAGTTTGATGAATGTTGGTAGTTGTTTTACAATCTTATAACCACTACCACAATTAAGTATAGAATATTTCCATCACCCCAAGAGGTTTTCTCCCATCTCTTTGAAGTCAATGCTCTGCTCTGGCCTTCCCCCAAGCAACCACTCATTTGTCAATATAGTTTTGCTTTTTCTATAGTATTTTATATGAATGAAATCATGCAGTGTATCATCTTTTGGTTTTTTACTGTTTTCTTTACTTCTTTCATTTGGTATAATATTTTTGAGATTCATCCATGTTGTTAAACATGTTAATGTTTCATCCCTTTTTTTTCTCGCTGAGTAGTATTCCATAGTCTGGGTATAACACAGTTTGCTCATATATTCACCTTTCAGATTGTTCCAACTTTAGACTATTATAAATACTGCTGTGTACATTTGCATACAAGTCTTTGTGTAGACATATGGTTTCATTTTGGGGGGTAAATAACTAGAATGGAACTGCTGTGTCATACAGTGAGTACATGTTTAGCTTTATAAAATGCTACAACACTGTTTTCTAAAGTGTCTAAACGATCATTATGTTTAAGATTTATGTCTATTAATACAAGTAAATATTTTTCTTTGTAACTGTTTTATCTTATTACAATATGTTAATGAACCACCATTTACTTACCCAATCTCCATTTATTTACTATTACAAGTAATATTTCAGTTGACATATTTACAAGTTGTTTCCTTACACACATGTACAAGCATTTCTGTCTTATAGTGGATGTCTGCAGTTGGAATTAATTGCTGGGTTCTGGAGGATACTTATTGTCAATTTTAATATATACTGCCAAATTGCCTTATAAAGTAGTTGGGCATTTCACTTTTAAAACTGCTAGTACCTTCCAAATTACTATAGACTTTCTTTTTTTTTTTTAGAGAGAGATTCAGCAAAAGTGATCTTTTATTTTTTTTATTTGTTTTTATGAACAATCTTTATTATTTTATTTTTTTTCCATTTATTTTTATTAGTTGGAGGCTAATTACTTTACAACTATAGACTTTCACTGGTCCTTCCTATAGAGTTTTTCTTGCAAGTGGTTATTGGGGGTTTTGTTATCAGAGTATATATTTCCCAAGCATTTCACATTGTTCTTATTGTCCTGTTTTTTCTTTTGATTATATTTTATTTTTAAACAGGAGATTCATATGGGGCATTGTGTGAATCTGACTGACGAGGCTGTAGAAGCTGTCCTTACTTGCTGTCCTCAGATATGTATATTACTCTTCCATGGATGCCCTTTAATAACAGGTTAGTATAAGGCTGTGTGTGTGTGTGTGTTAGTTGAGCAATCATATCTGACTCTTTGCGACCCCATGGACTGTAGGCCACCAGGCTCCTCTGTCTGTGGAATTCTCCAGGCAAGAATACTGAAGTGGGTTGCCATTCCCTTCTCCAGGTGTGTGTCTGTGTGTGCTAAGTTGCTTCAGTTGTGTCTGACTTTTTACAACCCTATGTACTGTAGCTTGTTAGGGTCCTCTGTCCATTTGAATTCTCCAGGCCAGAATACTGGAGTGGGTTGCCATGCCCTCCTCCAGGAGATCTTCCCAACTCAGGGATCGAACCCATGTCTCCTGAGGCTCCTGCATTGCAGGTCGATTCTTAACCACTGAGTCACCAGGGAAGCCCCTCCTTCTTCAGGGGATCTTCCCAACCCAGGGATTGAACCCAGGTCTCCTGCACCACAGACAGATTCTTTATACCATATGATCCACCAGGGTAAGTATGAGGCTGCTTGGGTTCAAATCTTGGTTTCATCTTTTAATAACTGTGTAACCTTGAGTAAATTACTTAACCCATTCCATTATTCAGTTTCCTCATCTGAAGGTGAGTATAATGACAGTACCTACCTTATAAACTTGATCATGACAACACATTTTTTGGTGCCTAGCACATACTGAGGGTTCAGTAAATGTTAATCATGATGATGATGGTGATGGTGATGGCGGTGATTGCCAAGGCTCAATAAATGCTAACTGTGATGATAAGGATGATGGTGGCAGTAGTAGTGGTCATGATATTAAAATGATGCTTTATGTAGTCATTTATAATATTAAATCTATCAAATATGCTAAATGACCTGTTAACTGTAAACACACCAAGCTGTAACCATTGAGATTCAGAATCATTTGGCTGATGTGGTACTTCACTTAATTAGTCACAGCCTTTGGTTTGTATAAGAGCCATGACACCTCTTTCACATTATTCCTACACATGGGTCCCCTACCACAATATAACCTGGTTCTCACTTGTAGTGGAAAGGCTGCTGTGTCAAGGGAACATTGTTAGTTTCCCTGCTTTCCCTCCTGATTCTCCTCTTCCTTTCCTAACTCACCCACCATGGTTTCTGACCTCAGCAATGTTAGTGCAGGGTAGGACTGCGATGCGCAGGAGGGCAGGTAAGGGAAAGAAAAGTCTTACTTGAGCACTGCCACTGTGATCTGGTGGCAGCACCATGGGCTCAGTGGGTGAGCTAATCCTGATCCATACTCTTACAAAAGTGGGGCACTGGTGACCTTCTTCAGAGTCCACTTTCTGCCACTCCCCTCCTCCCTGTGTTTATCTCCTATCTACAGTTCTCTTGGTTCAAGCAAATGTGTCTGCTGGCTAGTAGCAAGTGTTTTCTTCCTCTGCCCTCATGCCTTTAGCAGCATACCTTCAGTTTCTTTCTGTTGAGGTTACCTCGACCATCTAGATTGCTTTCATGAGCAAAATACAAGGCAACCCATGCTAGCTCACACCTGTCCACAGGGAACACAATACATTAGATGGTGAGAGTGCAGATATTTCTCTGCTTCAGTCCTCTCCTTAGCCACATGGACTCTTAACATAGCCTGCTTTTTATTTTCTTAGGTCTGATGTGTACTGTTCGTGATGTGTGTTGTGTTCCCCAAGCTCCAGGAGACGTATCAGATTCTCCAACTGATCCTCTTGGAGCCCTCTCTCACTAGGCTTGAAGGGAAGAGCAAACACCTGCAGCCCTCTTTCTAGAACTCAAATCACAACTGTCTTCAAAGAAATCCTTTCTTTAATTTCCAATTTTCCATCACTTCCCATTTTTACACTTTTATATCTTTGAATGGATAAGGCACCAAAGATTCCAAAATCAGTTTTCAGCCAAGCATTTGCAAGTCATGTACAAGTGGTCTGGTATCTCATTTTAGAATGAGAGAGTAGCTGGTACCTCTAGTCCTAGACCCTTAGCTGGAATAATTCTGGTTTAATGTTCTGCTATATTTGTCTCAGATCAGCTTGACTACCTAACACGTTATAAACTCAACCTTTGTTAATTTTACCTTGATCATCTTTCTGGTTACAATTTGGAAACAGTTAATTTGGCATTTTGTCTCTACTTTTAATAGAAGTGAAAACAGACTATACAGTCAACCAGAAAAGCTTCTCCTTAGGCAAACTACTTAAAACAATTATCAAACACCTTATAGGTAATGAAATATTTAGAAGGTACAACCAAAAACTGAAAATTTGAGTAAAAGACCAATATTAAAATGCTTAAATGTGCCTGTATTAATATAGAAATGACTAATGAATATGAATTGAAAATATGTTGTAATGATTAGTCTGATTTTTAAAGCAAAAAGACAGTTTTGAGATAAATTATATAATTAGATCACTGGAAATCAAAGATATATTATCAGCCTGTCTGGTATGATTATATAACACTGGATATAGATTACTGGAGTGGGTTGCTGTTTCCTTCTCCAGATCTTCTTGACCCAGGGATCAAACCCAGGTCTCCTGCATTGTAGGCGGATTCTTTACTGCTACACCACCGGGGAAGTCCCTGACTATAGACACTAGGAAAGCTTAATCCCACTCTTTTCCCATCCATATAATGACTCAAAATACTGAATTTACCAACTCTCATGTGGCCTAGAAAGGGATGACAGATAACCTCCCTCCTCAGTCTCCTGGGAGTTCCCTTACCTTAATTCCTTGCCGAGACTCATACACACACCCCTTTGGAAGTTCTTCTGTTGTGTGGGACTCCCCTTCCCTGCAAACCTAGCAAAGGGCTGCCCAAGTAAATCTCCTTGTATGCTACTGCTACCTTGTGGTCATATCTTTTTTCTTGTTCTGCCACACAATCCCTTGCTCAAGGTATGTAGCATAAAACAAAATATGTTTATATGTCCAAAAAAGTGTAGGAAATATATCACTATAATGAATATTCATTTTTCAAAGGCTCTAAGAAATACTATAGCTAAGAAACTTTTTTTATCTGAGTGTCAAGGAGTTAGAAATTTTCCTCTACCCTTTTAGATTCTTCTGGCTTATCTAAGAATTAAATTGACAGGAGGCAGGTAAAGAGGAGAAAATCAGAATTTACATACATGGGAGAGACCCAAGAGAACTGAGTAAATAGCCAAAATGTCTGAAACGCTAGAGAGGACATGCAGGGGTAGATGTTTGGACCTTCAAAGGAGATGAAGGCAATTCACATGAAGATAAAAAAGTAAATGGTTAGTAAACAAATATTTGTTGGGCCATGCAGAGACAGTGTAACATAAAGGTTCTCTGAACTCTAGGCCCCTCACTGAGTTTCCCCCACCGTACCTAGCCCAGATTCTTTGCAGATAATCTTTGATGGGGGTAGGAGGACTTGATCTGTACTTCCTTCAGGCAGTAAGGGGAAAGGGCAAAGTTTCTTCTTGAGCCTTTTGGGCCTTGATTGTTTTCGGCTTGAAATAATCCTGATGCCAGACACTTTGGGATGGCTATGAAGTTTTGCTCCCCTAAACAAGCATTTCTCAAATTTTTTTAACACAGGATATTTTTTTTTTTATCCCTGCTTTCACAGAATAGGAAAGTGAGAAACTGAAATGGTACTTGCCCATTGTGACAGAGTTTTTAATAATAGTGCTAAGATTAAACAAAAATCTCAAGATGAAGTGAAATGAGCACCAATCCTCAGTGTCAGCCACACATAGGCACTTGCCATGGGAGCCTGCCATCTACCTCTACAAGGATTCAATCTTGTGCTACTGTAGCTGCTGACCTTTAACACCCCCTGAAAGGAGTTCAGGGTGGAGAAATGAGGCACTCTGTGCTGGTGGGGAGGGGGAAACTGGCAGGTCAGTTCTTCAGATAGTTAGATATTTTCAAGAGCCAATTTTATATACCCAATTCTTGTATCTCCTCATCTGTAGAAAAGCGCCAAAATCCTTCATGGAGATTATTGTTTCCCATGACCAGCAGAAAGCTTCACGAGACTTGAGGCAACTTTCTGGGAAAATGTGTGCTTGATTGCATATACTCTCCGTTCCCCAAAATCACATATATCCTGACCTTTCCCCCTAACTCTTTGGAGCAGTTTCTTGGAGGTGCTGTCTCCTGGGCTGCAGTCCTTATTTTGCCCCCAAATAAAATTTATCTCGTAACTCTCACATTATGCATTTTTTTTAAGTCAACATTGGTCTCCTCAGTTCAGTTGAATTCAGTTGCTCAGTCATGTCCGACTCTTTGCGACCCCATGGACTGCAGCATGCCAGGCCTCCCTGTCTGTCACCAACTCCCGGAGTTGACTCAAACTCATGTCCATTGAGTCAGTGATGCCATCCAACCATCTCATCCTCTGCCGTCCCCTTCTCCTTCTGCCCTCAATCTTTCCCAGCATCAGGGTCTTTTCCAATTAATCAGTTCTTCGCATCAGGCAGCCAAAGTATTGGAGCTTCAGCTTCAACATCAGTCCTTCCAATGAATATTAAGGACTGATTTCCTTTGAGATGAATTGGTTGGATCTCCTTGCAGTCCAAGAGACTCTCAAGAGTCTTCTCCAACACCACAGTTCAAAAGCATCAGTTCTTCAGTGCTCAGCTTTCTTTATAGTCCAACTCTCACAGCCATACATGACTACCAGAAAAACCATAGCCTTAACTAGACAGACCTTTGTTGACAAAGTAATGTCTCTGCTTTATAATATGCCGTCTAGGTTGGTCATAACTTTTCTTCCAAGGAGCAAGCATATTTTAATTTCATGGTGGCAGTCACCATCTGCAGTGATTTTGGAGCCCAAACAAATAAACTCTGTCAATGTTTCCACTGTTTCCCCATCTATTTGCCATGAAGTGATGGGACCAGATGCCATGATCTTAGTTTTCTAAATGTTGAGCTTTAAGTCAACTTTTTCACTCTCCTCTTTCACTTTCATCAAGAAGCTCTTTAGTTCTTCGCTTTCTGCCATAAGGGTGGTGTCATCTGCATATCTGAGGTTATTGATATTTCTCCCGGCA